TTGCGAGGCACTGGTTTGTATTACAACGCAGATCACCCCTGAGGCTCACAACTCAGTGAAAACAGTCATGGTGGCAAACAGCATAATGAGTATAATGCTACCCGGTCTACCACGGTTGCTTCCTCCGAATGGGTACAACTTGTAGTTGAAAGAGCACATGCTCATTGTGTTAGCATCAGGAGAGTACACCTACGGTACATCTTTGCATATGTTGAAATGAGCGCTAGAACGCTAAACAGCGGCTCACAAGCTTCTGTTCCGTGCAGTAAGGCCAGTCCACCCCGCTGGAGTTGTCGATACCACCGGTTGTCCAAGGATTCAGTGAACAGCATATATCTTCAATTTGTCCGCTATCTGAGGGACACATGAATGCTTTCTGTCTGTATCCCATGTCCCATTGAGATCGATCTACATATGGTACAATTTGTACCGTACAAATCTGCTTACCTGCGATGCACTGGCAGTATTGGCACACGCTGTATTCCTTACATCTCTTGCATTCGGGATTGGACTCTGCGAACCGAACAATTGAGTACTATGGATTCGCGTATCCTACGCCCAAGGCCTAGGACTGTACAGTCTACCAAGGCTGATGATGTGTGGTTCAAGGGGTGCGGGAGGGTCACGTATAGCATCCCCGTTCCTGCCTCCTCCGCCTACCAGCGGTATGATGCTCGTCGATGAATAACCTCTCACGCTGTGAACTCTAGATACCAACAAATTCGCACCTTTCCAATGATAGCATTGTTTTCTTTCCAAACTGAGTCAAAGTAGCAACAAGTGTGTTGTTTTGGGCCTGGCAGTGATCCTCCAGAGCTGTTGTAGGTAGTGTGATCAGCGATGACTGCTTTCAAGGTTGATGCCTCAGATTCTCCGATGAGCAACATCAGCAACGCACATGACGGCTTCATTCGAATAGAACTGGAAGGTATGGGGAGAAATATATCCGTTATGATGCTGATGACGCTCAGAACAACAGCAATCACGAGGATGCCAATCGCGATATGATTGTACTCGCCACCGGTTAAGACAACTATAGTGTCGAATTTTTTGTGAGTTTACCAGTTTCCTACCCCAATCAAACACTACTCGCTGGCTCGTTACCCATGCAGATGGGAAGATGCGTTACTGCGCTGTTTCGTCCCACTGTTTCCTCGATTCCGTCTTCATTGAGTTGTCAATAGTGCGCACTGCGTAGGATAGTATCCTAAGGATACGTGAATCGAGGCACCAGTTCTCGTTGACAGCTCGAAACTCCTTGGCGCGAACCTCGAGCCTACGAAGAGCAAGTCTTGTCATGAACAGAACGTGCGGTATCCATGTGATCTGAGATCAGCATGCTGCCGAGTTTTGTCTGCACAGTTCTCATCAGCTATAGGGAATCTCATGGTATCGAAGGTCGACTCACGTAGAATCATTGAACGGGCTATCTCAGCAGTACTTTGCGATTTATTGTCAGAAGCTGTCGTGTGCAGGGAACGAGCCAAGTGCATTAGACGCCCTCCTGAATGTGAATCTTTTCGACTAACGCAATTCTGATTGTGACTGTTCATGACAAACCCATGCAGCACCATTTCAGGATATACCTGCACTGTGATGATGGTAATAAACATGCATAGAGGACTGAATGGTGCTATCAAAGACACATGGCTAATATACCACGCCAACTTCTCGGTCTGACGCTGGGCCACCGGTGGGTGATCCGACACCAATGTACACAATGTGACCACATGGGCTAACCTCGATGTTCGTGATGAAGTCACCCGGCTTGCAGTCAAGACTCACTGTACTGAGCATCTCACCAGGGCCATCAAGAGCAACATCGACTAGGGTGACACCCAACTGGCATCCATCAGAATGTCCCACACAAATTAGATCCTCGCGGAGGAAGCGCACAGCCTCAGTGAACATCGGGACGTGGAAACAACGCGCAATATAATCCTTCATGAGTTTTGCTTTACTCGAATCTCCTCTTTTGAGTGGATGATAATCAACTCGTAGTTCGGCAGGGTGAATTGGTGATATGTAAGCCACCTGAAGGCTCCCTTCTCGAGAAAAGACGTCAAAGCATGTCACTTCGGAGTCGGTCTCGATCTCCAATCCCCTCTCACATGTCTCAGGATCGACCTCCCACAGCGAGAGGTCTCTCGGATAGAGTTGATAGTCAGCAAATCGAATGTCGCGAATGTACAACTTGCCCTTATGATAGGTGATTTCGCTCCATAGCGAAACTGATGGATCCGACAGAGTACCGTCGAGCACAACCCAGTCACAGTGTTGTTCCTTCTCTAGGATCTCATGATGATCACCAAGTCTGTAGCAACGCTTATTCACAGTATCCAAAGTAAAGCGCCTCGACGCTCGAACATTATCACGCCACCAGCTTCCCGCACGGCACTGGACACATCTACCGGTCGCGACAGCAGAGAGACCAACTGGTCGACGTCTGCCGAGGAAACTCATTATTTCCTGAGCCATTTCGTCCCCGGCGAAGGATAGAGTGAAAGTACACTTGCGCACAGCAATGATGTCCGTG